ACTTTAACAAAGCTATACAAATTGAACTGTTTGTCCAATAGGTTCTATATCCCCAAAATGTATTGATCACATGTACTGTAAATACTAATATACTGCATATACAGAATACTATTATATGTGCATGTACACAAAATTGCATTGGAAAAGTAACAGTAAAGAAAGTAACAATTTTCAGCCACGGGGGGAGTGATTAAGGGACAGAATAATGCTACTGTAGTGTCTCCAAGAGTGCCTTCAGTAACTGGGAGCTTGCTGGATATTGCTGAGGAAAATGGAAGATATTGCTTGGAGTGGGATTTTGATGTGTGGCCTCTCAGAGCTTGCTCTCACCCCCTTTGCCAAAATAAACCTGCATTCTATTTACAAATCATCATTCTAAACAAAGATTTCTATTATTTCACGTGAAACTTCTTGTTATTAATCTTAAACAATAACCTTGTGTCATGCGTGAAACAATTTGGGTGAAGAGTTCCACTGAGACGTCTTTGCTCCTCTATTTTGCTCTTAAGAAAGTTCCAATTATAGCAAATTTCTAGCCTTGAACCAGTTTTCTGCCTGCCAGCATGTTTCCACTATTCTCAAATGCCTTAATTTGTACAATAATCACGTGTATGGTACTTTTACAAGTAAAGTGGGCTTAACTAAACTGACCCTAGACAGTCTTTGGGGAAGCAGCAATAATCTGGCCAATTATTCCTGGTATTGCACCAAAAATCTACTGTGTTACTCAGAAACAATATTTTATATACAAAAATACTATTTCGACTAAATGTATCAAGCTCTGATACATCAATAAAAAGGGCCTTTAAATTATGAGCATCAATATGTGTTCAATGCCTTTCCAAACCTCTAGGTTCCAACATGTAGGAAAGCTGAAAATAAAACTGACTACGCTCATAAAAAAACAAACAATATTTTTTTTTGTTGTTATAATTTTGAAGTGGTTAAAATATTGTCAATGTAGAGGGTAAAACAATATGTTGATATTGAAGGATCGTGTAACTGACCACAGTATAACTAAAGGGAACCAATTAAAATTAATTACAAACATGATGACAATAAGTCCATGACCAAAATGAGAAACAGAGATGGAGAAATGTTCTACTGTTTTGTCCAGTGGGAATAAATATATCATGGTTGTCAAGAACTCATAGTCATTTGATTGGAAAAAGAGATGATTCTTCCTTCTACAGAGCCTAATCTCTAATGAGCAAGTTGCAAAATTTAGTTTGAATTTGTAAAGCTGGAAACATCTCTTCAATTCACGTCATCATTAATTCACCTTAATCAATAAACCTCTCATGTGGTTTATTAGTGCATAAGATGAACAATTTGATATAATAAATTAATATTCTTTCTACTGTAAATATTGTGATATTGATGGTAAGATGTATACTAACTGAGAGCACAGTTTTATAGAATATCTCTTTTTAGATATTCTATTTTGTAAAAGTTGTCTGTATTTAGATCTTCACACATTCTGCTGAAGCACAATCTAAATCATAAAGTGGTTCCTGTGATTGTATCATTTTTACTCTCCAGAGGAGTGAGTCAGGAGTAGGGTTGGCTGGCTCATGTACTCAATGTATCATCTAAGAGCTGCTGCTGATTCATTTTTACAGCAAGGTAGTCTGATAAAAGGAAAATGGTCAGCAGAGTGAAAGGAATGAAAAAAAGACTCGAACACAGACATTTTGGAGCAGTGTCCCACCAGATCATTTCAGGAATAACAACAAGTTAGAATACAATCTATTGTCATAGAGGTAAACTAGTGGAATTGTTTCTCTAGGGTGGAGGGTTAACTAACAATTTTATGTTTAAAAGGGGCACACACATATGTTTATGTTTGTGTGTGCCCTTTTTTAATATATATATATATATATATATATATATATATATTTATATATATATATATATATATATATATATATATATGCTTGACAAAGGCCTCTATCCAGGCCAAAACGTTGCTGCTCTTTGTGTTCCAATAAAGCTGCTTTTTGCGAGATCCTGGATACTGATGCAAGAGTGCTGTATTCTTTTCATTGTGTGAATTACTACTGACTATGATATGATAAAGCATGATGGCTGTATAGCAAAAAGAGATATTCTAGGCAATAATAACCACTACACCCCCTAGTTCCATTCTGCCATTTTCATATGATTTGACAATGAGGGTCTACAGCAGTCCATCATCTCTCGGCTGCTTGGGCTAATGTGGAAACATTAGTCCAGCAACAATATGTGGCAGCGATGGGCTGAATCAGTTGATCATTCTTAGCCTATGAGAGCTGCCCATTGCTGGATGGTGGCCCACTGAATATATTGCCATGCATTGACAACAATAACTCCTATATTAAAAACAAATAGTGTGTAAAAGGCACTACCTAACAAATTTCCAACTGCACATCTCCAAATAAAAATATAATTAGCCTCTCAAAAACACCAAATGTTCTTCTTAAAATCACATAAATTAAAAAATATTAATTATTCAAATGGTGGAACACGTAAAGTGACAGCGCCACCTTTAAATAATCCACACAATATATAGTCCCAAATTATCTCTTAAAAGGAACGTGTGCAAAAATCATACATAAATTACTTATAAAGTGCTATCACATCACAATGTATATACAATGAAATGTTATATTATGAAAATCAAGAGGGAATAGGAGACTGGGGCTAAATAGGTATCTCGCTCACACACACTCCTAGCCAGTGAGTGGGAATGGACACTCAGGCCCCACCTCCTGTCCCAAGGCTGGTAACCTAGAATGGGTAAGTAGGGGGTAACCCATGAATATTAAAAATAGAAATCAAAAATAAATTCCAATAGCCCCCTAAATATAAGGTGGCTAATTGGAGGGGAACCCAGTCTAATACACTAGTAGCCAAACAAACCAAGACAAAATATGTATTAATAACAACAACTGAGCTACTAGAGAGAGAACTCACTTCTACCAAAATGGTAGGTGCATCTGTGAACTGGATAAACAGTTGTCCTAATATTCGGGCAGGTAGATAATATAGGAGGGTAGGAAATACCAGCTCAAAAGGATAAGGACAGAATACTAAGAGTGAACAAAGGAAATAAACCCTACCTAGGAAGTGGCCTCCAAATAATGATCTGAAATCCTATGATAGAACATTATCTACCCCTAAGTAGCAATACCTCTAGAGGACGATGGGGGAATGGGGTTTTATAGTCATAGGCGCACGGGGTGGGCACACCCTAATCCCCGTGGCACGCCCATGGTTTGAGTCCTGCAGGAACAGCGTCCCTGCACTTTTTTTGAGCAGGAACGCTGTTCCTGCAGACACTCAGCGCCCCCGTCTCACCTCTTGCCCCTGTCATGGGGGGGGGGGGGCAAGAGGTGATGGATCCCCCCCTCACCAGCTCAGCTGCGGCGAGGGAGCTGTCTGCTCTCTGCTTCCTCTCGCCGCGCGCTGATGCCGGGAGCCGGAATATGACATCATATTCCGGCTCCCAGCTACTGTAGGCAGCCCGAGCGGCGAGAGGGAGCAGAGAGCAGACAGCTCCCTCGCCGCAGCTGAGCTGGAGAGAGGTGCCCGCCCCACTGGACCCCAGGGACAAGTCCACGCCAGCACTCCAGGTAGGAGGCTGGGTGGACATTTTTTTCTTGTTAAAATATAATAATTTGTTCTTGTGTGTCTGTGTGTCTGTGTGTGTGTGTCTGTGTGTGAGTGTGTGTCTGTGTGTGAGTGTGTGTGTATCTGTGTGTGTGAGTGTGTGTCTTTGAGTGTATGTGTGTGTCTGTGAGTGTATGTGTGTGAGTGTATGTGTGTGAGTGTGTCTGTGTGAGTGTGTGTGTGTGTGTGTCTGTGTGTCTGTGAGTGTGTGTGTGTGTGTCTGAATGTGTCTGTGAGTGTGTGTGTGTGTGTATACGTATATATATATATATATATATATATATATATATATACACACACACACACACACACGCAGAGCCGGCGCTATCTGAGTGCCGGCTCTGCTCTAAGTGTCCATGGGCCAGTGGGGAGACCAAAGATCTACCTCACCGGCCCACAGCAGCATGGAGGGAGGCAGGAGAGGACCCAGGGAGCTCTAGACAGAAGCTCCGCCAGGTTCCTCTCGCGATATCTGAGCGTTGCTGTGGCAACGCTCAGATCTCGCGAGAGTTAACTCTAGCCCCGCAGGCTACAGTTCACTCTCCACTGGACCACCAGGGATGGCACATGGCAGCAAGGATTTACTAATCTGCCAAATCCCTCCAAACATACAGCACACACACATACAGCACCTACACACATACTGCTCACACACACAGTACACTAACCGCACCCTCACAAACACACACAGCACCTTTAAACAAAAACACAACACCCTCACACACAGCACACTAACAGCACCCTCACAAATACACGACACTCACACAAACAGCACCCTCACAGGGTAAACATACACACACAAACACCCTCACACACAAACAGCACAGTCACAAACACACACACACAAACACCCTCACATCACACTAACAGCACCCTCACACACACATCACACTAACAGCACACACAGCAGTGTATGTGTGTGTGTATATATATATATATATATATATATATGTAGTGTATGTTGCATAGGGCTATAGTGTGTGTTTATGGGGGGTATAGAGTATGTGTAGTGCGTCTGTGTGTGTGTGTGCAGGAAGTGTAATATGTGTGTTTATAGATGGTACAGAGTGTGTCTAGTGTGTGTGTGTTTGTGTGTGTAAAGGCATGAGGTGTAATTGTCTATAGGGGTATAGAGTCTGTATAGTTGTTTGTGTGTGTTAGTGCAGGAGGTGTAGTGTCTATATAGAGAGTATAGAGTGTGTGTAGTGTATTTGTGTGTGTAAGTGCAGAGAGTGTAGTGTGTATATAAGGGGTAGGATAGGGGCTTTAATACTTAAGTTACTAATTTAATTACTATAAACATAGGCGTGCGCAGCCTATTGCATTAGGGTGTGCACCCTAAACCACAAACACACACCGCGTGTGTGTGTATGTATCTATATATATTTTTATATATATATATATATATATATATAAAAAAAAATATATATAGATACATACACACACACACACTAGACACACTCTGTACCATCTATAAACACACATATTACACTTCCTGCACACACACACACAGACGCACTACACATACTCTATACCCCCCATAAACACACACTATAGCCCTATGCAACATACACTACACCCCTTTTACACATGCACACTAAAATCCCTATACACACATTACTGCACCTATACATACACGCACACAAACCAAAGCTTCTAGATACACACACAATGCAACTACCTGCAGCCCCTAGACACACACACACACACACACACACACAACACCCCCTAGGCCCACATACTCTACAGGCCCTATAAACACACACACACATGCATATAAACTTTACAACTCAGAAACAGACGCAAGCACTACAAACCCTAGCCACACATGGTATCACAACCATGACCTAGTTATACACATACTACAATATAAACAGTCTCCTCTACACACATGCAATCTCACAAACAAGCTCCAAAACACATACAACACCACAGGGAACATCCCCACACATGCACAACATACTTTAACAGGCCTGCTCCAATTTTGTTCTCTGGTATCCCTTTATTGGGGACACCAGAGACACCTGCAGGCTTGCCTTATGCAAACAAACAGGACATTTTCTCCATCTGAGAGCACTAGATGCTCTAGATTGACATCACACTAACATACTCATTTTGGGGAGTGCTTTCCATTGGTGATGACATGTCACACCCTCTTTCTGGTCATACCCGTAGTAGTTGGCTGCTCTGCCTATAACTGCCAGGACTGTTTTTTTTTGTCCCAGACTGGCCCTAAACATGGACAACATTCATATTGCCAGTTTTATGAATATACACATAATACTTAAAGTCAATGTAAAATAGGTAAATTACTACAAGAAGCTGGCACCAGTGTTGACACAGAAATATTTGGTCTATGCTTCTTCTCACAATATGCAGGTGAATCTCAATCCCTGATAAGTATTTAATAGAAATGGATACAGAAAAATGAAATTAAGAGAGTAGTTGGGCGCTATTGTCTGTCTACACATGCCACCAATATGAATTATATGTAGAAAAGGTATTATTTTTCTGAAGCTCTTATAATAAAAGCAGTAGAAGAGGTAGGTGCCACAATGTCTGAAATCGTTGCCATTTCCATGATTCCCTTTTATTTTGCTTCTTATCAAACTAGGAGTATGCTTACATTTCAAAATCCATTAGTTGCTTCATCATCATTGAAATAAGGCAGATTTACTTGTACAAATTGATACCTAACCACAAATATGCTTCTGGTAGTGTTAATGTAGGACAAACCGTTTGCAATTTTCAGACATGCCATTTTAAAATGTATGACTGACCTTTATACTTATTCTGAGGTAAACATATGACTAGAGGTAGGCTAGGTCTGACCAGAGATCAAAAGACACACTAAAATGTTAAGATGGACATAGTTCAATTTCCAGTTTTGTGATGTTTATATACCTAGAAGTTTTATATTTGTCAGTTTTATTTATTAATTATTTTATTAATAGTGGTAGCCACATTGCAGTTTTTGAGAAACTGCTATTTTTACATTGTCTATTAGACAGCCACTAATGGCACTTCCTGCAGTTTCACAGAGTTTTGCTCCATTAAACAATGCTGGACATCCTCATGCATTGCATCCCCACACCACCATCAGCTAAAGTCGGCATAGGAGGTGCGTGACCTAGCACCAAGGGATCTCAGCACTGGAATCAGGTAAGTGAAAGAAAGGGTTCTTTAACCCTTTCATGGATGGGGTGAAATGTTTGGGGTGGAGGGAGACTTTAGGTCTGGAAATATTTGGACACTGATACATGTTTTGTTATTTTGGCTGTTTACCAAAATAAATTAAAGCTACAGTTAAATAATGAATAAGTCTCTTGACTTTAATTTGGGGGTATTAACATAGAATTTGAAGGAAGGTTTTATTAATTACAGTACTTTAATATGTAACCCCCCTCTTTTTGATGAGGTCAAAAGTAATTGGGCAATTGACTCAAAAGCTGTTTCATAGGCAGGTGTGGGCTATTCCTTCATTATTTCTTTATCAACTAAGCAAGTAAGAGGTCTGGAGTTGCTTCCACGAGTGGCATTTGGAAGCTGCTGATGTGAACCCACAACATGCGGTCAAAAGAGCTCTCAATGTAAGTGAAACAGGTCATCCTTAGGCTGCAAAATATCCACCAGAGAGATAGCAGGAACATTAGGAGTGGCCAAATCAACAGTTTGGTACATTCTGAGGGAAAAAAAGAATGCACTGGTGAGCTCTGCAGCACAAAAGTCCTGGATGTCCACGGTCCAACAGTGGTGGGTGATCCTTTGCATGGTAAAGCACTTCCAGCCAAGTGAAGAACACTCTCCAGGAGGTAGGCATATAATTACCTAAGTCTACCATAAAGAGAAGACTTCACAAGAGCAAATACAGAGGGGTCACCACAAGGTGCAAACCATTCACAAGTCTCAAGAATAGAAAGGCCATATTAGACTTTGAAAAAAAAAAAACCTCTAAACAAGCCAACCCAGTTCTGGAACAGCATTCTCTGGACAGATGAAACTAAAATATGAAGAAGGCTCATGATCTGAAACATTTAAAATCATCTGTAAAACACAATGGAGGCAGTGTGATGGCATGGGCATGAATGGCTTCCAACGGCACTGGGTCACTAGTGTTTACTGATGATGTGACAGACGACAGAAGCAGCCAGATGAATTATGACGTATATAGGGATATATTATCTGTTCAGATTCCGCCAACATTTTATATATGATTGTGTTAATTTGTTCAATTACATTTTAATCCTTCTTATAAAGGGATTGTATATGAAAATGGTTTTAATTCCTAAAACATTTCATATGATAATTTTGATTAACCCCTTGAATTAAAGCAGAAAGTCTGCACTTGCTATTACATCTCGGTTGTTTTATTTCATTGTGCTGGCGTACAGAGCCAAAATTAAGAAAACTGTGTCAGTGTCCAGATATTTCTGGACCGAACTGTACATTTTTGTATTTCTAAAACTAAAGTGTTCGTTTAACAAACTCAGCAGTTGTCTTGGCTGATATGGAACTTGTTACGGTTGCCTCCAGGCTGGCTGGAAGTTGGACCGTAGAAAGGATGCTCCTAGCGCTCCAAAGGACCATCAGCACCGTAGACACTATAAGCACTGCAGACTCCACGAACCGCCACTGCTGGGCAAGGATCTTGCCGTCTGCTATCCAACCTGGACCTACGACCAGGCTCCAGGTTCCAGTAGGTGAAACCTCTTCTTGCTGCAGAGCGAAGCAGGATCAGGCACAAGAGCTCTTACAAGAGCTCAGTAGGTAAGGGAGTATGAAGAGCATTGCAATCCCTGTAGTGATTATAGCTGTCCCCTACAAACATGAGTCGAGGCTGCAAGTTAGAAGGTCAAGTCATTTTGTTTAATTGGCACCAAAGGGCCTTCTTTTATGCAGGTTTTCCTTACATAGGACCACCCACGGGGTTTTACAGAACAACCAATAACACACGTACATTACAGAAAACACTCCCAGCAATTACACACAAAATCCTCCTCTCTGCCTGTGATATAATTATGGTACACAATGGTTAACATAATTATCACAGGCAGGAAAAATACAGTTTTTATACATGTACTATAACTTTAAAACCATACATCCAATCTTCATAAAAAAACACATTTTATTAATCAGCATCCTTTAACCCCTTCAGGACACAACTTCTGGAAAAGGGAATCATGACAGAATATTTCTGTCATGTGTCCTTAAGGGGTTAAATATAAACATACTAAAAAAAAATCATAAAAATCCATCCAGTAGATCAAAAGTTAGACGGAAGTCCTTGATGACCGACCACAAGCACATTTTCATGCCCAAAACAGTTCCATAGATTTGGGCTGTGCGGTTGGTCTATTTCAGGCTGAAAAAATGACCTATCACTGAACGGGACTTAGTCTCTGTGGCTGAAAGTTCAGTATGGGAGAAGGTACAGGCCAGCGGTGTTCGCGGAAATGTGTAGCCGATTTCAGTTCCATGAATTTGGCTACACATACCGCTGACCTCGTTCGAATGAACAAAGATGGCCACCACCACGTGTTCGTTTGCATGAACTGCGGCCACCCAGCGGTCAGCAATTTACCTACAGCAGGCTCCCAGCTTAAAGGGGCAGTGTCCCAAACAAGTCTGGGGACACTGTCTTAAAGGGGCATTGTCCCAATTTTCCCTATGCCCCAAAAATGTGCTTAAAGGGCCAGCACTAGTCCCATAAAAAGTCCATAAGCCCCAATATGCGCACAGACTGTTCTTAAAGGGCCATACACACCCGGTCCATAGTCATGGGGAAGGAGGCTGGCAAATAGGCTCCTCCATGATCCAGGGAAGCAGGGAAATTTGTCAAAGGAACAGTTACAAAAGGCATTTTGTATCAGAACTTAGAAAGCCTCTCTCAGCATGAAGCTATATGTTTTATTAGCTTTAACAGTTATACATACATGACAGTGACGCATTCTGTAAGAAAAACACGTGCAGGACTCACAAACAGAAACTATGATTGATACAGAACTGAAATAAAAAAGGGAAATAGGTATGAGAATCATTATGTGATTTTGTATAAGACAATGAATATGCCCATTTATATGATAGGTACTGAATATTTTTTAAGATTACATCTAATTTGTTTTCTATGATTGCCCCTTAGCAGAGGCGTACCTAGAGCATTTGGCACCTGGGGCAGATCCTATGATTGGCACCTCCCCTCCCCTGCACTTTAAAATGTAAAAAACACCCACAATATTTTAAAATGTCCTGCTCCCTTCTACAAAACTCCTCTCCTGCCCGCCATTCTAAAAAACGTATGTCCTGCCCCAGTTCTACAAAACCCTGGACCCCCCTTCCACAAATCCCCTGGTCAGCCCCGTTATACAAAATCCCTGTCCCCCTTGTACAAACCCCTGCACCCCCTTCCATAAAACTCCTGTACCCCCTTCCCAAAAAAAACAGCCTCTCCCTCAAAAGC